CGTCCTCTCCTTGCGAGAACCTTTTCAATCAACCAACCAATGCTTCTTATAAATGGGAATTAATTTCCTAAAGATAGCGACTTCCGTTTCTAAAAGCCTTGGTACAGTTAGTTTTGGGCGGGGAAAGAGCTAAAGCTCACCTCAAAAGTACCTCATTATCAGGACAGTAGATTTAAACACAACGGATAAAATACAATTTTTTTAAATCATCTTTATTATAGACAACAGTTTTTTGAAGGTGATCGATCTCTCGGTGGACGAATTATCCGTTAAGCTTTAAGGCTTGAAAAGCAAACTAAAAAGGATGTGGCTATTGATTGAAAACGTATTTTAACTTTACTTTAACGTTATAAATCAATGCCCTCATAATCTAAGCCCAGTACCTACATACATACATATATGCGAAGTCGAAAAGTACCTGTGAACTACTCACGCTGTCAAAAGATTAGTTCAGAAGCTAAAAAGTTCAATGACAATCTCCCTGTTTTACTGTAAATATTTATATTATGACTTTGTTTATTATTACACGTGCACGTGCATGAAAACCGGTTTTTAAGATTAACGCTTTTTCAGTTTGTAATTTCGCATATTACATCCACACATGATTAATTAGTGAAAAATGTATTTAATTGTTACTTCCTAAATGTGGTTAATTTAAACACGCGCACGATTTTTGTTAGAGGAGAATAGGATTATCACTTAAACTACTTATTTTCTTACTCAGAGTGGTTCCTCACACGCATTTTACCTTCTCCAACAAGATTCAACCTAGTTCATTAAAGTATTCTTAAAAATTTTTAAAGGATTGAAAACTAACTGAAAGAAGCTGTCGTGTGTACTACATATGTATATACATACCTACATGCAAACGAACAGTTTATATACAGCGTATACCAATAAGACGTGACGTGATTCGTGGCGGTCATATTTCTTCATGGGTCAATGTCACTATGTCAATGTGTTCAGTGAAGTTTGTCATGCCATCATGTCACGTCATTTTTTAGTACAGCGGTTAGAAATTGTTCAAGAATATTACGCATATTTTGTGGTTGGATTTGGCTCTTCGTCGAATAAGACAGCGTTTGGACGCTGGATGACTTTAAGCGAAATATCAGCTTCTCAGATGAGACCAATTTCTCGCTTAAAGGTTTCGTAAACAAACAAATCGCCATTAGGTTGAGTCAAATCATCATGTAGTGCAGCAAACGCAATTGCATACCTAAAAAGTTTGCCGTTTGTTGCTAATTGTGATACGGCGGCGTCATCGGGCCTTTGACCTTGACCGAATTTTTCATCCGAAATTAATGAACGCGACATGGACGATCTCTATTTCCAAGAAGCCGGAGCGTCGCCTCATGTTTCACTTCTAAACATGGAAACACTGCGTGCAAAGTTTGGCAACTCGTCAATTTCGAGATATGGCCCAGTCAAATGACCGCCAAGTTCATGCAATTTAATGCTCTGGACTATTTTCTCAAGGGTTATGTTAAATCAAATGTTTACGTCATTCAAGCAGAAACTTCCGAGGAGCTCAAAGACAACATTCAACGCACTATCTCCAACCGAAATGCTTAACCGGGCTGTTGAAAATTGTCGTAGACGGGTGGTTATGGCCAAGATTTTGTTAAAATCTTAAATTACATAAAATTATCTGCATAATAAAAAAAAAGCAAACAAACCCTATTTTCACCAAATTTTCTATTTAATTCTAAATCCTCACGTTCTTGTTGGTAGTCCCTATATTGGCACATGAAAACAAACTAAAAGTTTATAATATGTATAAAGGTGCATATGTAAATTTCTATATCTATTTTGATTCCTTTCTACTTGGGTAAACAACCGCACCCCTAAATGGAATATTAAATTACTGTACTTGTACAAAAAAATTCGCGGCTACAACAGTGTAGTACTATTAAGTTCACATGTTTAACAAAAACCACAGATATTGAATCTGAAAATGCCTTTAGTCATAGCTCTAGTATTATATACTTCAGTTCTAATACCCTGTACGGATTACCACAATTTTTGACTCAGAACGAAACGTTGTAGACACTATGAAATATACATATATGCACTATATAATAATGATCGTAACAAATAGAGTCCACTTAGCCATGCCCGACTGTCCTTATACATATTATATATGGGGACTAGTCTATCAGTGATTGAGATAGCGATCTTAAAATTTTCACACGCTGCTCATTTGTCAAAACCACCACTATGGGACCATTATGGCATAGAGTTCCTACTGATCGATTAAAATTTAGTCTTTATGCAAAAAACATCCATATTTTACATGAATTAGAATATCGGGAAAAAATTGTTCAGGTCGGCATACAGCATATAAATACATATAAGTATGTAGATGCCATTCAAGTTGGCCGATAAAAATCTTCATTAAATCTATTTTTCCTTATCTTATTTCGACTTGAAGATTGTGTATGTCAAACAAACGTGCATAGAAAGAACTACCAAAACGCTTTCCGTTGAATTATAGCTAACTGGATGTAGGCATATACTATTAAATGCCGGAAGAAATACAGCTGTAGAGGGTATTTTTTCCACAGTGCAGGCGAAGTTAACTTTTTTCATATTTTTCAGTTGTGTTAGGGAAAATTCAGTTCAACTTTAAAGGTTAAGTAATTACAACAACCTTTGCGGTTGACAAGCCATAAAATATAGCTGAAAATAAACGTGCGAACTAACAAAAGAAAATGTTCCTGTTACCTAGAGGTATGTCCAAAATGTGATATTTACTACACGAGTAACTCGATTTTTCAATATAGAAATAGAATTTTTAAGATGAACGTGCCGAAAGAATTGAGATAGGATAAAGACTCTCTTTTAATTATTCTCCTTACTGGTTAATGGATATATAGATGTCGATTTCAAATCACGAGATATCGGATTGAAATCATATTCTAGTATAGTTAGGAATAAATGGATTTTACATCTTGTAATAGAGATATATGTATACGTTTATATCATTCTTGGGTTGGTAGGAGAAAAGCATTATTCTGTTGTTTTTTTTTTTTTCTTTTTTTGTGCTCTGTCGTATATCTCATACAACTCATCGTTCTATCGAATGCGGTATTAACCGTGGCCAATGCACAAAGAACCGTAAATCTTCCGCAGAACCTTTCTCTCGAAGCTCGTAATGTCGACTCATCGCCTCTGCACTATACAGCAGGAAGGGAATAATGAGTGACTTATAGATTTTGGTCTTTGTTCCTCGAGGGAGGACTTTTCTTCTCAATTGTCTACGCCGTCCGAAGTAGCACTTGTTCGCAAGAGTTATTCTATTGGATTTCGAAACTGTCATTGTTGTTGCTGGTAATGCTGCTTTCAAGATAGACGAAATTATGCACGACTTCGAAGTTATGACTGTCAACAGTGACGTAGGAGCCAAGTGTCGAGTGCAACGACTGTTTGTTTGATGACATGAGATATTTCGTTTTGCCCTCGTTCACTGCCAGACCCATTTGCTCCTTACCAATGATATTTTATTTTAAATTATATTCTCTTCATTTTCGTAACATTTTTACTGACATTGTCGCAACACACCTAATGCAAAGACCTGCCGCCACATGTGGGTAAATCACCACTTAGCTAAATTCTGTGTAATTTTTATAAAACCCGATTGCTTGTTTGTTTACGTTCTACATTTATGTGTACGCTTGTCAGTCTGTGCCTTATTCTTATTACTAATTTTGCGAAAACTTGTTTGGATTTTAATTAATAAGGTTAACAACAAAGCGAATCGGTTGCCGAGAGAGACCGGCGGCTGAGATCTGTTGACTCGCGAAGCTTATCAGTGCACTTGCAACAGTCGCGGTGGGTGGATGAGCAATTTTTACATAATATAAATGTTATTAAATTTTTATATTTTTATTGTGGCGTGCAAGTGCAAATTGCTCTGCATTCATATAATCTAATAAGAATAATTATTTTATTGGCAATATTTGTGCGAAAAACACGCGCCGAGCGAGTTCTTTGTTATGTGTAATTGTGGGAAATCCTCAACCTTTTGTCGCGATTATCAAAAATTCAGTGGAAAATATCACTTGTAAGAGATATACGCAATAATGGTTATGATATACATACATATGTACACAATTATTCCATGGAATTGAGCTATATTTAAATAACATACGTTTAAATGTGTCGTATAAATGTGGGTGTCCGTGTGTGTCCAATGCAAATTCGTTATAAAGTTATAGTTGTGATATGAAGCATATGAACCGTAAACTATTTACTGTTATTTGGCGACAATATTCACCAATATCCACCACATCTTCAGAAATTAGTATACAGTAGGATTTTCAATTGCTGAAATTTTCTTTCCATGTTTGATAAAATAAATATTGGGTAGTCGAAAAAGTCTTTTCGTATTTCTAATCAAATTTCAACATTTTTTATATTTATACTAATAAATAAATAAACAAATACCTCTGTACCATTTTAGTCGACCACTATTTGCGATTTTTCGGCTAGAGATATTATTCCATCAGTGAAAATCGAAATTTCGAAATTTCCAGAACGGAATCGAGCAAACCATTGTTTTGACAACTGATACAGCATCGTCTCCATAAACTTCAGAAATTTCATTGGTGGTTTGCGAGGTACTCTTCCCTTTTTTTATACAAAAATTTCAAAAAATAGTGAATTTCTTCATAATTTTCACACGTTTTTGAACAGCTGTAATTCTTTTTCAGCTTCCCCGAATTACATTTTTTTGGTTAAATGAAGCTTAAAATCTCAGCTTTCCAACACTATATGATATGACACAATGAGATACAAGACTGCAATGACATCTATTAATAAAATACGGAAAGACTATTTCGACAAAGAAAATGGAATTAATAATTAAATCGACATAAATCATGATCCCAAATTTGAAAAAATAATTCTTGCAGATGAAAAAAATATATTAGTTTAAATTATACCGTATTGCGAACTTAAAGCCGATCGATCAAGCATAGTTTCTTACAATATTTTACCGTTCACTTCGCTTTGAAGATATTTGCTTCAATATCACCAACACTAAAATAAAAACGGTGAAAATTAAAAAATATTCGAAACGTGGAAACGGTTTGCACGCGCCGGTTGTTGGAAAAAAGTGAACAATGTGAAATTAAAAAAAAAGAAACAGTGGAACTATATAATAGAATTGAATGAATAATTTTGTATAAAATGAAGCATCAAGCTTAAAGCGATCATTTGGATGACGAACTGTATACTCAGATAAACAGATATGCAAATTTATTTACCATGAATATTTGTATATGTATGTATGTATGTACCTCCTTTGTGTTTGTATGTAGCACAAGATTAGCGTATGACGCCTCGTAAGCGGCCCATTTCCTAGTACTCAGCTACAATAACAATTTTTCAATTCTTGTGGATGCGATTGTACATGCATCTGTTTGCACATACTTACATATGTATGTGTGTATTCGACTCTCTGATGTGTCCACATTCGTATTTATCTTTTGCAAAATTGAATTCGTTTCGCTGTAATCATTTGTAAAGCAACAACAATTAAACACGTGACATCTTTTGTATGCTGCTTAGCCGAACGCAAAAAGCTTACAATTTCCTTGAAATAAAATATTTACCTATAGCGTGTGTATGTGTAAACACTGTGTAACAAATTTATAAAAAAGGTGTTATATTTTTTGAAAATATGCACTAGGGACCAGAATCTATCATTTTACAAACCAAAAACAACATAGCAGAATAAAACCTTTCTAAAGAGAAGATAAAATTACAAAAACGAAAGGAGTAGTAGCTTTCGAGAAATGTGGTTGTATTTTAAAAGTTAAAAATTTAATGTTTTTTGGAAAAAATACTAGGGTGCTCTGAGGTCGGGAAGAAGACTCTCCTCTAGTGTTGTTGAATTTAAAGAGTCAAAAACGTTATATCTCGACTTCTAGCAAAACTACACGTTCTACGAAATAAAGTTTAATAGTCAAGTTGTAGGCTTGTGTTAACGTCTCTTTTACATAACCTTACAATTTGTGTAAAAAATTCAAATAAATAAGTTTTTGGTTTTTTCTTTCACGAAACTTGTGGTAAAATTACTTGTTTACACATGTGCCATAAGCTATAATTTTTGTGAGTTAAAATAGATATTTTTTCACTTCATATTGGCTTAATTCGGAAAAATACCAATTTTAAATCCAAAATTTTAACGACAAAATATGTCATTCCGCAGACTTTATGTTTGTTGAAATCTCTACTTTATGAATTTTTCAACATATTTAAAAACAATCTTAAAATTCTTTTGGTGGTGAGTTAAGCTTTTCCATGGGTTTCCTCGCTTAATAAACAGGAAATGTTCAACAATTTTATTCTCATATAAAAAATTAAATATTTGATTCGAATTTTTTTATTGTTACCATCATATTAACAAAGAAATTCTAAAATTTTTGGAAAACAATATTTTAAACTCGGGCATTGGGGAATAAGATCGGAAAGAAGATGTGCCCGCTTTGGCAGGATAACTCTTTACAGGACTATCTGAAGTGAAAAAAACAAGTAAGGAAGGGCTAAGTTCGGGTGTCACCGAACATTTTATACTCTCGCATGATAAAGTGATAATCGAGATTTCAGGCGTGGTTGTGAACCGATTTCACCCATATTTGATACATGTCATCAAGGTGTTAAGAAAATATTATATACAAATTTCATTGAAATCGGTCGAGTACTTCCTGAGATATGATTTTTGGTCCATAAGTGGGCGACGCTACGCCCATTTTCAATTTAAAAAAAAAAGCCTGGATGCAGCTTCCTTCTGACATTTCTTCCGTAAAATTTASTGTTTCTGACGTTTTTTGTTAGTCGGTTAACGCACAGTGATTTTCAACATAACCTTTGTATGGGAGGTGGGCGTGGTTATTATCCGATTTCTTCCATTTTTGAACTGTATATGGAAATGCCTAAAAGAAACGACTATATACAGTTTGGTTGACATAGCTATAGTAGTTTTCGATACATGTACAAAAGAGTTAGTAGGGGGCGGGGCCACGCCCACTTTTCCAAAAAAATTACGTCCAAATATGTCCCTCCCTAATTCGATCCTTTGTGCTAAATTTCATTTTAATATCTTTATTTATGGCTTAGTTATGACACTTTATAAGTTTTCAGTTTCCGCCATTTTGTTTGCGTGGTAGTTTGCCGATTTTGTCCATCTTCGAACTTAACCTTCTAATAGAGC